TGTATGCATAGTATCCTGACTAGAGTCACTGTGATCTGAATCATTGCTTTTACTATCCTGTAGAGTGAATTGATTGTTTCCTGAATTATCAGAACTGTCTGTATGCAAATAATCATTCTGAGAATCATTGCTATGTCCTTACAGATGGAATTGACGTCTAGAATCTATGTACCATTTGATTCCTATGGATTCATTTGCTTTCTCAATACTCTCAAGCCTATCCTTGAAGATTGAATAATCTACAGTGTCTGGATTCAAGCAATCTAATTGTAATTGCCTCTGGTACTTGGAATTCAATCCATACCATGCCTGTCTAGTCAAATCTTACTAAGAAATGTCTCCTAGATTTGTAGCTTTCATCTCTAGATCATACAAATAATCCTGAACATTCCTATTACCTTGTTTTGAAGTGTTGAACTCTTTTTGCAGTATTTCAGCAAAGTTGGAAGGGAAACAAAAGTCCATAAGTCCTCTAAAGAATTGAGCAAGTGTCCATCTATGCTTGTGGTTTGCAATCTTTTACAAATAGAAATTCATTACTTTTCCCTTGATAAAACCTAGCATTATCCTTACTTAGCTCTTAGGGAAATGATGAAGTCCTGATTGTTTCATATACTGATTGACTTTAATAACAAACTTTGTATACTTCTGCAAGTCTGGTTTACCTGAGTATGCTGTAGAAGCTATTGGTTCTGTACTACACATCTGTATCTTTAATTTGAGGAGTTCTTTATTCTGTTTCTTCCTCAAGCATTTCTTGTGCTTCTTAGTAGCCTCTGTATCACTCGAATTGATGTCTGATAGTTTGAATAAAGCATTACTTCGATTGTTGTCATTAGATGAAGAGGAATCCGAATTATCACTGTCTGGGTCTGATCCTGGGTTGAAATTTCCCTTTCTCTGTATCTTAGAGCTCTGTATTACTCTGTATGCATAGCTATTCTTTGCTAGGCTCTCTGAAGGTCTTACTGATGCAAATCTGCCTTTCTGAACATTATTTGGTGCTTTGCTATACCTGTGTCCATTGTTCATTCTTGAACTACTGCTCAAGCTATTCTTATACTTACTATACTCAATATGTAGCTTTGAACTGTATAGTTTGCTGTACTCTGAATCAATATTGTTCTCACTAATACTACTAGTGTATGCCTTGCCTGGGACTGCTTTCAATTGTGAAGTATTACTATGGGATTGTTTGTTCCTTTTATTTTTGCAAGGGATACTCTAATGTCCTAAAAAACTTAGTATTTCTATTTGAGACTGTATATATCTAGGTATTTCACTTTCTCTCTGATTCCTGGACCTGGCTAGGGTGTTGTATCCGTTGTAGTAGTCCTTTACATTGCTCCTGTGTAATGTGTAGTTGATATCTACTATGTATAAGGTTAAACACTCGATTTCATGAGTGTATGCTTGATTTTCACCCTCTGGATCAAGTACTGATCCTTGTAGTTCTAATATGCATTCACTTTTGCTATCCTCAAAGTACCATTCTGTTGATACAATGTCTGTTTTGCTTGGATAGTCTGAATTGATTTCACAATCATATTGAATGCCTGGCAGTTCCAGTTTTTGTTCTGTTCCTTGTGCTTTACATATTCCTCTTGTTTTGTACTTTCCTTTCACTTTCTACAAATGCAATTGTTTGTCTGGACTCTTGAGTGTTTCTTCTACACTCTTAGATCAATAGTTATGATCTCTACTGTCTGTGGGTACTATAGCATGTCTGGCTTTTGTTCTATAGCTTGCCTGAAGTGTTTCACACTTTTCTGTTACTATACTATTGAGTCCACTCTTGTTTGATGAAGGAGTTGCTTTCTCCTCTTCCTGATACATTCCATTGAACTTGTACATTCTCTTATTCAAATCTTCAATGTCTATCAAGCTGTGGAATGGGCTGACATGTTCTATGTTTATCTTAATTGCTCTAGCTCTTGCAATGTGTCTGAAGGTCTTACTTGCCTTCTGGAAATCTTGTTCCTTATTGGATCTCTGTAATTCCAATGCCTGGCTCTCCTAGCCTTGTCTGTTACTCTTGTCCTTTGAGTCCTGGCTACTTTCTTCACTGCCTAAAAGGGTCTTAAGTGTCTCATTACCCTCTACATCACTGTTGTCAATGTGTTTCCATTCTGAAGTAAGTGTACTCACTAGATACTCATCCACACTCTCACTGATACTGACTATATGTACTCTGTAACTCTTGTACTGGCTTGCAAATTCCTTGATGCTTACTGTTAGTTCTCTATATCAACTTAGTGAATCCTCAAACCAAATCGCCTGTCCTCTATTGAGTGAATTCTCAAACTTGGTAGCCTGAAATTGATAGAGCAAATCCTCAAGCTCAATTGCCTGTACTTGGTGAGTTGAATCCTCAAACTCAACCTTCTGTACTTGATTGGATGAATCCTCGAATCCAATTGCCTGTTCATTCTGAACTCGACTGTCTAAATCCTCAAGAACAATTGTCTGAGTGTTTCCACTCTCTGTACTGCTATTTGCTATTTCTTTGAGCCTAGTAGTGTTAATACTCACTAGTGTCTGCTCTACAGTGTGTGTTTGTCTAACTATATGTGCTGGTACAGTTACATACCTTAGTTCTACATTATTAGTATGTAGTAGTTCATCAGGGTGCCTCTAGCCTTGTGTAGATAAGGACTTATCACCTGGTATAGGTTCATTAGGTTGCCTCCAGCCTATGAGGGACAAGGACTTACTTCCTAGCATGTTAGTATTGATATCCAGACTTGGGTACCCTCTGGGAATCGTTTGTCAAGGCTCAGCAGCCACATTGTAATCAATATCCAATGGATAATCTTGTTGTCTATTGTCTGTAAACTTGATACACACCTGTTTGTTCCTTTTTGCCTTCATGGATGCCTAGTCCTTGACCCATCTGATTGATGCAAACCTCTAGCATATTCAGCACTAGTCTATATCAATATGTGTTAATATGTTCCAGAAGTGTTCTGCAGTGTTCTGAAGCATTGTGAACCTACTGGGGGCCAATCCAGTAAGTAGTCTCTGTTTCTACTCAAAAATTGTAACTTTACTCACTAAAAATTCCTGAGGGGTACTAGACAATGAGGGAGACCTAGGGTTGATCAGACCCTTTGGTTCCTCAGTGTCCAGCAAGAGGTTTCAGTGCTAGGTGGGTACAGTCAAAAATATGTAAGGAAACTCACTGTTCCTCACAAGAGAATTCTAATTGCCCTTAGTTCACTCAACTACTAACTAGGATAACCTAGTACTCGAGCAAGGGGTCAGGGGAAAAGAATCCCCTTTACCCAGCAGTCAATACTGTCTTTTATAAGGGTATACACGTGTAGATACATGAGGAGAAAGTGTAACTAACTACAATGAGAATATATGTGCTTGTGGGTCCTACTGTACAATGATCTGACACAATCAGTAATGTAGTAGTAATAAAATACAAACCAGTAAATCAAATCCTTACACTTGACCTGTACTTTCTGTACACTGGTTTGTAATACACTTTCTTATAAGGTAGAGTATTATAACTTCTAATGACTCCTTATAACTCTTGTAATATAAAAGGCTGTACTTTTGTACTAGCCCTAGAACTTACAACCAAAGTTCTAGACTGTCTTGTGTACACTCTAGAACTGACAACTAATGTTCTAAATCTTTCCCTAAGTCTTCTTCAATAGACTTAGTTTAGGAGACAATTATCCTTATTAATTTCTAGCCTTATCTTTGTACTTCTGTATTCAATCATAGAACTTACAACCAAAGTTCTAGATTGTCTCATATAATCCTCATGTTGTCCTTATGTAGTCCTCATGTTTATGACTTCATTACTTTCCCATCTATATAGGCAAAGTGTATAAAGGAGACTACTTTCCTGTAGTCTCTCCTTAGAGCTCTCAGTTCCCTTTCCTTTACTAGTACTAGTTCTCCTCAAGTATAGAGTTTCAGAGTATTGGCTCTAGCTCTTTACTAGCTTTAATAGTCCTTTGTCTTTGTACAAAGTGTTCTTAGCTAGCTATATAGTTTCTCCTCAAGTAAGTATAATATTTTCCTTTTATCTCTTCAGGTTTTCTCCTAGTCCTTTCCTTTATACTTCTTGCTCTAAACACTATACTCTTTCTAGATCCCCTCTCTATACAAGTATTCTAAATGACTTGTCTTTAGTTAAGGTTATCAAGTAATACTGTACTAGAGTATGTGTTTAACCTTAGAGAGATAAAGACCTTGTCCTCAGGTTTTGTTACCTTTTCCTAACTGACTTAGTACCTACTCCTTCCTGTCCCCTCTCTCTACTAATGGATTGATCACCTATTAGTAATGATTAGAGGTTAATAATGCTGAGCTAGAGTTCTTACTAAGCAGGACAACAAAGGTAGCCTAGTTGATCTGGCCAATCTCTAGACTTGTGACTAATAGGGTTTTGTATATAAACTACTTGGTTCCAAGTCTTGAGTTAAGCTTTTCCAAACTTAGTTACTGTATTTTACAATTCCTAACAGAAACTCACTGTTCCTCACAAGAGAATTCTAATTACTTTTAGTTCACTCAACTACTGACTAGGATAACCTAATACTTGAGTAAGGGGTCAGGGGAAAAGAATCCCCTTTACCTAACAATCAATACTGTCTTTTATAGGGTAGTACATGTGTAGATACATGAGGAGGAAGTGTAACTAACTACAATGAGAATATATGTGCTTGTGGGTCCCACTGTGCAATAATCTGACTTGATCAGCAATGTAGTGATAATAAAATACGAACCAGTAAAGCAAATCCTTACAAATAGAGAAGTACAAAATGACTTTTCCGACCATCTCGCGTCGCTCTCGATTCACGGGTAGTACGGAGTCCTCTTTCACGGACTGGAGACGTTTATTTTTGTCAGCGATTCACAGGTATCAGAGAATCTCTCAAGTACTGATAATAACTCACGATAAACCTATACGTGATAAGATGAGGTTCAGTATCTTACATCTCCAACAGAACCGTGTCCGAGTCGTACAGCAGAAGCACTCACCACCCCTCTCTTGTAGTAACACAACACATGCTATGCAAACTGTCCAAAATCGTCTGGAGACTCGTCAAGATAGAGCAATACATCGCAATAGGAAAGTGTCCTGTAAATGCGGCTCATGCTGCGTGTCCTTCAGTAAATCTTGCAGTTCGATCAGCTTGATCTGCAAATGAAGCTCCGTGCAAAAAGAAAATTGAAAAGAAAATCATTCAGCTAGAGGTACAGTATTTGACAAAAGTATTGCACATTAGTATTTCACAAACTTCTTTCTTTATTAAAATTATTATTATATTAGCTTATATTAAATAAATGCTGTATTATTAAAGTAGACCTTGTGTATATAATGTTAGTATAATAATTAGACTTAATACTTACTTATAATAATTAATATACTTTAATTTAAGAAAAAGTGTCTGTGCATTTCTTTTGATTACTTTTAATAATTTTATTATATTACACATTTGTATTAAAAAAACTTGTTATATTAATATAGTGATTTAGTATTTAGTATACCCTCCTTGAGCCTTTGCCAATGCATTAACTTGTCTGGGCATACTAGTATACAAACTTGTAATATACTCATTATCTATTTGGTACCATTCCTCCTATAAAATCCTCCACAATTCATTAACATTCCTTAGAAGTGGATTTTGAGCTTGTACTTTATTGTCGAGATAGTGCCAGACATGTTTAATAATGTTCATGTCTGGGCTCGAAGGGGCCCAATCAAGAAGTTTGATTCGTTTTTCTTGTAGCCATTTTGACATTGCTTGAGATTTATGCTTCAGATCTCCATCCTGCTGAAAGAGAAACTTGGTGTGTGGAATGTTGTAGTCAGAAAGGGTGTCAAGAAGTGATTTGTCAAGGATTTGGATGTATTGGCTAGAGTCCATATTCTTTTCAATGTGATGAAGACAGCCAACACTATGTGTAGTAATGCATCCCTAAACCATAAGATGTCCACCACCATGCTTGATGACCTTCTTTACATTCTTTGCATAGAGTGACTCCCCCTCCCTCCTGTACATGATATTCCTTCCATCCTGCTTGAATAGATTGATTTTCGTCTTGTCTGAGAAAATAACCTTTTCCTACTTTTTAAGAGTCTAAAACCAATGTTTGCTAGCCTAATATCTCCTGCAAGTGATATGCTTCTTGGACAAGTATGGTTTAATGAGAGGGACACAGGCCACTATTCCATATCCTTTGAGAGCACAACAAATGGTTTGTACAGAATCAGACAGGAAGTACTTGCATTTAAGGTTGCTGGAATCCTTTGCTTTGCCTGAAGCAAGTAAATAGGCAGCATAGCATACTTTATGAATGTTGAATTTGTGTGGACAGCCTGGTTTGGGTTTGACATAGTACAGGTTAGGGTTTTTGAGCAGCTTGCAGTAGTTCTGGGAGACTGTCGATGCATTGCAACCGAGTTTTTGTGCAATTTCAACGTTGCTCAACCCTTGACTCTTCCAGTCCAAGATACATTGCTTTTTTGTTGGTGTAAGATATGGAGCCATTTCAGCAGATCCAGAGTAGTCTGAATTGAGCAAAAGACAGAGTATTATTGATAGTGATGGAGTACTAGTATGGTGCAATGTTTTGCAGCATGGCACGACCAAAAAAAATGCACGTGACCATTTGCACAATCTCGCAAGTTTTCTCCTATTTTAGAATATATATAGTTATTTTTTTAACTCATTTTTTTTGCTATATTATACAGTAAATAATAGTACTTATATCTCATAATTATAGTTCTTAGTTGTCTGTATATAATCTTTTTTAATTAATAGATTAGGTCTGTGCAATACTTTTGTCAAATACTGTAAGAACTCCCAAAGAGAGAACCACGACACACATAGTCATGAAATTCTGAACCGAGCTATTAAGCTTCACAGACAACAGCTGCGACGTCTCAATCGGGATTCCATTTCCATCGCCGTTGCCATTGTAAGGAGTCATATGCAAGTCCCGCTCGATAGCATTCACCACATTCCTCGTTTCATCGTGAATATCCACATGTGGAGAATTTAATCGAACGAAAATCCTAGAACTGGTCGCGACGAGGTGAGTGTACAACCATCCAAGGTTTAGACAGAACCTTTCTTTCAATCGCTATGGATGGTGAGCACAATAAGTAAGCATATATATGTCGAGGATATTTGAAAAGGCAACACCATCACGCTTAGTGCTTTGCTAACTTCTCTACGCGCTTCTGCCGGCTCCCATAAACGGGACACAATAACAGCATATATTACAACAGCACCAGCAGAAATAGACCGGTAATACGCGATGTCCACAACAGAAATGTCCCTTTGGCAGATATTATAGCTAAATCACAAGTCATCGTTAAAAAAGTCACAGGTTAGGCTAGGCTTATAAACAAGGAGAGTGAACCGTCCCGCACTCGCATATTGTGGTTTTGCAATAATATAATAAAAGCACAGAATAGCGTAAAAGAACCCAAATATTGACAGTACAACGGGGTTTTCTGGGAAGAGCAAGAATATCGCAACAGCCGAACTAGCTCCGTATCTATCATAGAACAAGGAAATATTAATTAGTTAGTCCACGGCCGGGATACCAACAAACCAAGAATCTTGTTTTAACGCACAACGTTCCAAGCAACCGGTGCAGACTGAAGAAATTTGTCTCTGGATAATTGAGTTGAACGTGAGTCACTTTAATCGTAACTAAACTCTTTCAATAATTACTAAGTGTACTTACCGTTCCAATAGTTGGCGATATAACAATAAAGAACTTCACGTATCCAACGAACATAATGACTTGTCCATATTCATATTCATCGCGCAATATTATCGTTCACCGAAATCAACGTCCACTCTCCCCAATATTTCATAAAATTCGGACGAGTTGAATCAAAGAAAGCCGGAACCCCAACCAGCGCAATCGCAATCCTAGCCTTAATCGCGGACTTAACATTATTATCCTCCATCTTCTCGTTAAATCGCCATATCGATTGGCCCATATGACCCTGAAAACTCAATTGCTCGCGACCGGGAGTGAGGACGGTATTCAGTGCGTGCAGCCGCACTTTTGGGAAGATCGGCTAGCGTCACTGGGAATATGGCATGAAAAACATGCCTGTTGCACAAAGTCAGTCCAAAACTTCGTATATATGGTTATTCGAAACCCACTGAATAGCTTTGACAACGTCGGCCTCCTCTGATTCTTCCTATTTATATTCATAGTCGCTGGGAACCCAATCAACCCTTCCTTCATATTCTCAAAATAAAAGAACCGTATAAGTCGTTTCGCCCAATGCTGTTCCGTCGCAACCCGTTCAATCTCGTAAATCCGACACATGACTTCTGTAAGAACTGTCAACTCTCTTGCGAATTCTTGTAGAGTGAAGATAAAGCTGTGTAAAGTATAGAGTAGTCAGTGCATTTTATTTTCAGTGAAGGTAAGTGTTTTGGAGGTGGACACGCACTAATAAACCAGGAAGACAGTTTCATCCGCACCCGAGCGCAATAGCAACTCGTTTTCTGGCACTGGGTTGTCATGCCCAGCCGCACTCGACCCACTATTCGACATAGGAATCGACTCCTCCGCTGATTTGAAAGACTCAGATACCATCAGATCACTTCGTCGGTATACACGCATAAGAGCCTGGTTAGATGTGCTCTGGAAGGTAAACAGTGCCCGTTGGATAACCTCCGTTAGCTGGAAGATCTTCTGGATGTCGCCTTCCCGTGCATCTCGACGTTTGACGAAGGATTTCCAAAGGCGGTGGAGAGTGCTCGTAGAAGACGCCTGTATATATCAATCATATCGATGAGATAACTGAAGTTATCGTGAGTGGAATGGCTAATAGTGTGCGTACAGAGAGTGCCTTGAGTGGAGGACCTATATCATCGATCAGCTCGCCGAAGATTGTCGCGTCTTTGCTATGTACATGTGTCTGAGCAGTCCCATCGAGCCCATTCCTCTGGAGAGCGTCAAGTGCACGAGGACAACTTTTCCATCACGCGCGGCCTGAGCAAGTTCTGCATGTAAGCGCGTCCCACTTCGCAACCCGTTCAAATGCTGCGCGAGTCGGTTCATACAACCAACAGCATCCTCGTACGCCTCTGCGGCTTCCGAGCCACCTAGCAACCATTCGCCGCGCGATTCCACTAAGCCCTTCTTCAAGCTTGTAAAACTAGCTTGGTGGTCGCTCACTGCACGTTGTAGATGACTTTGCGAGGCAGCCGGTTCCGAGTCTGGAATCAAGCAAGTCGCATGAGAAGGTCGAGGAGCGTGGCAAATGAATCCAGGGCCCAGATGATATAGTTTTGGAGTCCGGCTGATGCTTTCTGGGGCCAAAAGGTATAATGTACAATGTTGAACGAGAGTGCACCGAAGAAGACGTCCTTCGCGGTTTGGGGCAGAGTCTGCAAGTCACCTTCTTTTACGACACTAGGAAAAAATTGGATTAGGATACGTCCTGAACAGAGAACCTTCCAATCGAGCTCATACCATGAGTAGAATGATAATGGTCATACTACAAGCTGGAATGTGCCCGAATCAGTGGACAAGAAAGGAGGCCGGAGAAGTAAAGGCACGTATGCACCTGTATTGAATGTCGGTTTCACCATCCATACCTTCATCCTGATTCCCGAACGCAATCCAAGAAATCGCCGTCACATCCGCGAAACGTCGACATACTCGACATGCCAATAAATGCCGCCCAGACAAAGCCGTAAAGGCAAAATAAGTCCACCTCGAGCATTGCACCGACAGTTTTTGCAGGATTGAAATATACGACGCTGGGTACACAATTTAGAGGGGAAAAAAAATCTACGATCGAGCCATGTGTCTATGTAGATGGAAACGGAACCATGTCTCCCTCAGAGATGATGCTACCCGACAAACGCGACAGTGGAGTCACATAGGTCAAGAGCGGACCTAGGAAGTACGCCACGGCACATTCGAAGACGTTGCGATGTACGAGTGCACTAAGTATAGTTGCATATTTCGGGTCCGGGTCCGGTCCAGGAGATCTCGGTCACGGCATCACGCTCCACAGAGCCCCTATTTTTTGCTAAAAATGTGCATGTGCCCTTCACATGGGGCATTTCACAATTTCTT